ACAAATAGTTGCAGAGAAATGATAAATTCTTGAACTAAGGTATCGTATTCACATTATTTATAATTTATATGACAAACCAGAATAGATGACCGCATCAACTGGATGTTTTGACAGGATTCTAAATCATAGGTCTCCAGCAGTGAGTAGACCATGAAAACACAAAGATTGCACCAAAAGAATACAAGACTATTTATTGTATATGCACAGATAGACTCTGATGAACATGATGAACAGGCGTGCTGATTACAAATTCAGGGCAGGTGTGACAAAAAAACTAAACAAAAAAAAAAAATAGAACTGCAATGACTGACAAGACTCACTGGTCTTGATAAATGAACACATCAAACATAATAAAGTTAGAAAGTGATTTCATACGGCAGCTTGGAGCAGAAATATATAAATTCTGAGCCTTTTTCTATTTTATTCCTCATGCATGTCTCATCTGTTATAATTTACTTAATGTGGGTTTTACTGCAGGTCTGATTTTTATTTTTATTTTTTTAATGGCTGTAACTCCACCAGTTTATTATGGATACTAAGCTAAGACTTGGTGTGTTAGTAACTGAGTCATTCACAACACACACTCCAAGTGCTACTCATTCCACAAGATCTTTGCTTGAAACTTTAGCAAGAACTGCTGGAGTCAATTGTTTGTTACCAAAAGATTTCATGAATCTTGGGACAGATTTTAATGAAAGATCCAGAGGATAAACACTTTTGGAATCAATACAAATTTAGATAGTCGCAGCACAAAGCTCAGTCAATATTACAGAAACTGAACTAAAATTAATGTGGTAGTTGGTGAGACATCTCATGATATTGCATTTTTTTAAACCTAGCATTACAACTCCATCATGGCCTAGGTGGGGGCATATTCCTTCTACGAATGCCAGGTTATACTCAGCATTAACATTAATCAAAATATTCAGCCAAGCGTCTTGTGGAGGACTCTTTTTTTTTTTTTTCCACCACTGGAAAAGAACATTCCTCCTCTTCATTAAAAAAAAACAAAAAACATATTTAATCATTGAACAAAAGTAAATTAATAAAAACAACTTGGAAATTAATTTGCAGAGATTCTTTCCTCTAATGAAACAAACTAACAAAGAAAAAAAAAAAATCATCCCAGCAAAAATGCTCCAAACAGCATCTACAAAGGTACCAGAACCTCCTACAGTAGGGGTCAATGGTTAGGACATTTCTTTTAATTTGTCACTTTTTTGGTACGTTCCACTTCACCTTTGGTTTAAAACTTACTCTGATGAAGTTTGTGGGGGGGACCGGTCTTGATTGAATTTGCTATGGTCAAGGACAATGTGTCTGGAGGTAGCTTTGTTATGGGAGCTGTGGAGACTCCGTTATCGTTCTGGCTCCATTAATTCCTATTCATTTTAGCTGTGTGATAGCTAGCAGCGTCTACTTGTCTGTGCTTTCACAAATCGGCGCTGTGTTTCCAGATAAAGATTGAAGCCTGTTGTGGGAGGCGTCCCTTACCCCGTCTGTTCTCATGAGTTTAGTGGGAGCACAGTTCTGTTCCAGAGGCAGCTCGGCTAAATTACTGTAAATACAAAGATGTGAGCAAACTTAAACGAAACATAGAAGCATACACATTTAAAAATGTCATTTTCCCATATTCAAAAAGAACACTTTAAAGATGTCAGTTATTTAAAGTATCTGTTTTATCTTTCTGAAACACCCCTCTAGCTTACTGAGTGAACTAACCTTTCACGACATGTAATCTGTAGTTTAATGAAAGATTAGCCTTTCATGTTGTTTGGACAATTTGTGTGCATTATGTATTTGTCGGGACTAACATAGTTTTGTCTGTCATTTTTAATTATCTAATAGCAGAGGGCACAATATAAAAATGACAAACTGCTCATTACCAGGTTTCTTATTTTGCAGTAAATCTGATGGAAGTTGTGGCTGTTGAACTGGAAACTGCTTATCAGTTATAATTCTCTATCAATCCTTTCTGTTTTCTTTCCTGCACTAGGTACCTTTTTACTTTTAGTTACTTATTCTCTTATGATGATTATGTTAAAAAAAAAAAGATAAAGTACTGACAAATTATTGTACAGACCGAATAAATAGATTCAAGCAATAACATGGGTGGTGCAGCAAAACTGCTAGCATGACCCTACAGAGCCTCATTGACCTATACAAGGAGAAGTCGGTGAACAAGGCCCGGCTGATTCTGGCAGATCCTGATCATCTGCTCCATGGTGAGTTCAGGTTGCTTCCATCTGGATGCAGGTATCTGCTGCCCAGATTTAGGATGAACAGACAGTAACTCACTCATCCATGTAGCGACCAGGCTTCTCGATGAACAGTCATGATTCCATGTACTGTTATTTTAATGGCTCAGTTGTCTTCTAGTATGGATGTTTTGTGTGACTACTGACTGTGAAACTAATTGCCCCTTGGGCATAATAAAGATTATTGAAATGAACTGGTGTGCTGGAGCAGAGATTAGAACTTTTGCTTCACAGCAAGAAAGTTGCAGGTTCAACACCAGGATGTACTCTTTCTGTGTACTTTGCATGTCCTCTCCCTGTGTGGGTACTCCAGTTTCAACTCACAGACTGAAATCAAGCAGGTTAGGTGAACTGGGACGTTTATTGTTACTAGGCGTGAAAGTTGGGCATTAATGGTTGCCTATCTCACTTGTCTCTATGTGGCCCCGTGATGGACTGTTGACCCGCCCAGAGTGTACCCCACCTCTCGCACTTTCACCACTTGAGATGTTCATGAGCTCCCTAGGACCTGGCTTAAAAACAAAAAAACTGGATGAGTGGAAGTAATGATAAGTTAGAATACACAACACAAAGAAGAAGAATACACAAAGCAATATGTGAGATGGATGGATAGATGGATGGATGGAGATGGATGGATGGATGAATGGATGGAGATGATAGATGGATAGATGGATGGATGGATGGAGATGATAGATGGATGGATGGAGATGATTGATGGATGGATGGATGGATGGATGGAGATGATGGATGGATGGATGGATGGTTGGAGATGATGGATGGATGGATAGATGGATAGATGGATGGATGGATAGTTTTTGATTCACTCAGTCACACACAGATTATACAATTTTATTCTGTTAGCTTCAGAGATACTTTGACTTACTGCTGGTCACTGAACCCCCCACCCTTTTATTAGAAGGCAACCTTCCTTTACTGGGCCAAGCCCCAACCCCAACCCACCCACTCCTCTGTACAGTTCCCTATAATCCCCTGCTAATTCCCTATATTCCCGCTAAAAAATGTATACAAATAAAATGTTCTATCAAATTTGAAAAACACAATGTAGAATAATAAAAATGGAACATTTTGAGCAGCAAGCAGGAAACAAACATCATTAACGGTAGAAACCACAGTAATAAGGAGAGCAGTATGTACAGGAGGTAGTGCAGAATCTACACAGATCCACAGAACATGTGTAAATACAGCATATCAGCGTATGGTTGGTAATAAGCCCACCCGAATTTGCAGGTTATTTATAGAAGTAGGTTTATGTGCAGTGTCATTCATAGTTAAACTGTATTGACAGATTTAAAATATGGTGAATAATTGCATGGGGAACATGTTCATTACTGACACCAGGGACAGTAAATTAAAGTGCCTGCATGACAAACCAAGAACCTTTTCAGTTATTCCAAAGTCCATGCTCAATAATCCAGGTACAAATCCAACAATGTTCAGCCAAGTCACCTAGATGGTTTCTTTTTTTTTTTTTTTTTTTGGCTGAGACATTTTGTCTTTCATCCAAAGGACTTCTTCAGTCTGAGGAGCCACAAACAAATTGGAGTCCCACAAGCACCAACTCCCATAATGAAAAAAAAAAAAAAACAGTTTGTTGGTGATAAGTGGTTTCTGGGGCCCACCCTCTCCTGGATGAAACGTCTCAGCAAAAAGAAAAAAAAAAAAACGTCCAGATGACCTGACTGAACATTATTGGATTTGTACCTTATTGAGCATGAACTTTCATGTTTTGAACCATTTTGGCCTGGCTGCCTTAGAGGAGTTGATGGGGAGAGGGTGGGCCCAGAAACCATGTTAACACCAGCAAACTGTTTTTTTTTTTTTTTTCCCACTATGGGAGTTGGTGCTTGAGTGACTCCAGTTTGTTTGTGGCTCCTCAGATTGAAAAAGTCCTGTAGATAAAAGATGAAACGTCTCAGAATAATAATTAAAAAAACGTCCAGATGACCTGACTGAACATTGTTGGTTTTCATTTATAGTGTGTGAAATATGCGTGTGAACATTTTATTAAATGTGAGTATCTGGGTGAGTCTAAAGGACAAGTTTTGTTGCTGCTTCTACAATTTATTGTAAAAAGTCTCAGTAATACAATGAAGCTATAAATGCAATGTTGTTAAATAATAAAATATAGATACATTAGGTAAGTGGTTCTTTATGTTTTTCCATTTACAAGTTTTGTGAGTATTTGATTTTTGAGGCGCAAACATCTCATGAACACAGTAAATAATATTTGCTTTGTGAAACATGTCTGGAGACAGTCAGCAAAACAATCTGATACACGTGAATTTTTGTTGGGCTTTTACATCATCCTACTGTCCTTTTTATTAAAATGTATAAAGTCTTTCTGGCCTTGCAGTGTTTACATTAACTCCTCACCATGAGAAAGAAACATCTTTTTCTTTCTGTGTTTTGTTTACTGGAGCTTCCTATTATAAAAAAAAAAAAAAGATAGAAAAAGGAAAAGAGTTTTAACATTTTCAAGGACAAAGGAGGAGTTTGAGTTGTCGGGAGGCAACGCTATTTAGTTTCTCACACTGTCAGTCTGAGGGAGTTAACCCACAGGTTATTTTGTAGGAAACAGGATTATTATGTAGAAAGAAACTTGTCTTGATACTTTTTACTGTATATGCTAGTCATTACATCTTTATAATTTGTACTTGAAAGTTCTGTCCCTCTATGGATGGAAGTTCAGCTCATAGTTCATTGCACATGAAAGGCAGAAGCATGAATTTCCATGCAAGACGAGTCACCTTGCCTGCCATCACACCTCTCTGTCTGCAGAAGCGGGTAAGAGCTGAGCGTAAATATTTTCTGCTATTAATTGATACTTATTTTTCCTGTTAAAGTGCATTGCTGTTTTCTTTCGTGCACTAAATTTAACTGACTTTTTAAACATGTAAGCATTCACAAAGACTTGATCAAACTCTTTTCAGTTCATTTTAATCAATAATACTTCTATTTTTGTTCCAAAAAACACTTAATTTTCTGCAATTAACTTATTATTATCATCGCTATTTTTAATTATTAGATTTACACTGAATTCTTGAAATAGCTTACCATAAGACACTATTGTTAACAACTGATTCCACTATAGTGTAAGACTGCCTCTTCTCATTAATCATAAATATTACCTGCATTGAAAAGTTTAGCAGATGGTTAATGAAAACAAAGAAAAAAAAAATCTGAAGGTTGTGTTTTCTCTGTTGATGCACTTTGTTTCTAATGTTCACAAACAGTGTGGCAAAAATGAGAATTAAAACTCTAAAATTGTAAAAAAAAAAAAAAATCACTTCTATTGAGCAAATGACATTTGTTTTGCTTTCTTATAAATGCAGGAAAGTCTCAGTTCTTTTATTCAACACTGGGGCTCTAACTCTAACAGTTCATATATGTAAATGTTTAAAAGCATCCGTTTTAAAATTATATTTAAACTTTTTAAAATGGGGTTTTATGGAAAATTGTATTAATAATTAATATCTTACCTGTTGAAGATAGCTCTTTGAACAATTTCAGTTTAAGAAACATAGATTAACTCCTAGCAGACAAGACCAAAGTGGATTGCTGTCATCCTAAAACAATCCTGTCAAAAGTTTCAGAGTAATTCTAGTGAATAATTTTATTTAAAAATAAAAATATATAAATACTTTTACCTTACTGTCACGTTTGCTCTAAACAGCAATTCACACAGAATTCTTTGAGGTTTTTTTTTTTGCAAATGCAAAAAGCAGCAGCTAGCTGTAGCACTTCCTCTGCAGCCTGAGGTACATCACATTTTACGTGTTAGATTATATTTTAGTAATCTAAAGGTGTAAAATTATTATTGCATGCTCATTCCGCTTTAATGTTAGCCCTTATTAGCTTGTCCATCAAGTCTAGGCTTCATTTTTCCAAACTGAAACTATTCAAATAGTTTCCTATACAACAGGTAAGATATTAATTGTTAATAACAGCTCAATAAAACCCAACTTTTAAAGTTTTGAATTTATCCTTTAACAAATAATGCTGCTACTACCTTATCAGTGTTGCTTTATGGCATTTGTCTGCTGTAATTCCTCTCTTGCGGCACGTTGCCAGCACAGTTTTGTCTGTTCCTTTCCAGTAACGTGTGGTGAACAGGTGTTAGCAGTTAGCAGCTGGCTGGTAGAAGTAGCACCTGGTCCGCCCTATTAAAAAAGTAGTGGATCTGAAACCGTCAGTTTTTCCAGTGTTTTGACAGCGGAGGACTGGGTGGACTTTTCTGCGGGTTTTCTTAGTCAAGGCTGGAGGCCAACTCCTCACCACCACTGCTCACTGACAGAGGCACAGTTGTGGGAGAGCACTTCAAGGTTTAACCTTAGGAGGCTAATTGGCAAAATGGCACACACTGTACTGCCCTTGAGATAAGAAGGTCTCTAACTGAGGAGGTTGTGTTCAATGAAACTATATTTAGTGCTGCATAGTAAGGATCTGGATATACTCTGCCTTGTCAGGCTAGCTTTACGGTACGTAACGTACCGCTGGTTTTCACAGTGTGCTTCACCTCTCACCTCTGTGAGACGTTTCCTTTGATCAGCACTTCAGCTGGCATCAAATTAACATGGCTTTGGGAACACTTTGTTTTGATAGACCTTGATCATGAAACACCTTTTATATCTACATCTTTTAGCAAGTGGAAAGTTGTGAGTTCAATCCCCAACCATAAGTGTTGAGAAGTCTTCAACAGACTTTAAACACTTAAAGTTTAATGTTAATAAATACTTTGAAAAAACTAATATGATTTAATTGATAAACTATATCTATTAAGCAGTGGAAACTTGTATTGCTTACCTTTTTGTCTCTCATATTTTCAATTCAAGACCTAAACTAGTGTGTAACTACTGTCTACACCCTATAAAGGCACGCATCTTTAAACAGAAGTTTACTTTTATTTTGATAAGGAATCTTAATTTCTGAAGAAGGCTGAGAAAATAGTCTTATATTGAATGACCTGCAAACCTGTACAGTCTCATGTCAAATATTTCTACAGCACTATTTGTTTACAAAAAAACATTAAAAAAAATCCTAAAATAATAGGCCTATTTAGATTTTTTAAATTATTAGTGTCAACTGCTGCACACCTTTATAATGAAACTATGATGTAGTCCCTATATTGTTGTATAAATAAACAATAAAAACAAAATTTGCAGTAACAACAAGATATTGTGTTTTAAATTTTACAGTTTAATTTCAGTCATTTATGTTGTACAGACTGAAAAAAAAAAAAGAGAAATTGCCATTTTCCAAGAGATTTGTTGACCAGTATCTCAAAGTTTAGTTTAGAATCTTGCAGCCAGATGTGTATTATCTTCTAATTCTTCTTCTATCTTCTTTGTCCTGCAGCACATAATTAATACGTAACAAATAAAACCATGTGCTTATTTGAATCAGGGTTACTGCTAATGAATGCAACTCAGTGTTGACTGACAAAGGCTTTTTTGTCTCCCACCACAGCTTATCTTGCCTGGCTCTTTATTGGAAAGTCAACCAATAATAATTAATAGGTACTCATTATTTTTTTATCCTTTGGAGTGAACCAGTATGAGTTTGTTTGCTGAAGCAGTCAATGCTGTAAACAGAGTTTAAATTTGTAGATAATAAAAACTGAATGTGCTGTTTACTCAGTTATCCTTGAAATGTGCTGATCATTAAGGTCCAATATTCAGTATATAAAACACTTCCCTCTGTTGGTCTGCATGCATTGCTTAGTTTGAACTATCAGGTCTCTCTTGTAAATGAGTCCTCGAGGCTCAATGGGATTTACCTGTCTAAATGAAGGTTGAATGAAGGAACATATTTCATCTTACCGACACCAACAGCTGATTTACTTTTGAGGTAATATCATATTAGCATGGCTGCCACAGCTAATCAACCTTAGCCAACACAAAAATGGCTGAACCCCAGTCAAATTATAGATTCTAAGCTTATATTTGATGTGGTAGTAGTTGAGTCATCTTCTCTTCATACTCAGAGTACTAACAGATATTGTGACATGTCACAACATTGCATGAACTTATATATTTCATTTACAAGGTTTGACCAAAGCAACTAAAACTCTGTCACATCTCTCGGGGGTTCCCAACCCTGGTCCTTGAGGAACACCATCCTGCATATTGTAGTTGTTTCTCTGCTCTGACACATCTGATGTTAATAAATGGGTGATTTACAGGCTTCTGCAGAACACAAGAAAACAATTAAATCACTGAATCAGGTGTGCAGGGAAACAACTAAAACCTGTAGGATGGTGTTCCTCAAGGACCAGGGTTGGGAACCACTGCATTAGATAATCCTAATTTAACTCTCTGGCCTAATACGGCAGCAGACATTGAACATTCCTTCAATTCCCTCCATTTGTTGTCTTTGTGGATACAATTTAAAACGGAAACTGAAGGTGCAGTGTTGCTGCATTATTCAGTGTTGACCGTTTTAAATACATCTTTGTCTCTTAGTAAACTGCATTTGAACTGATTAAGCTCTTAAACATTTACAGTATATGAAGAGGTGATGGCATTGCCTAAGGCATCTATCTCTCAATGACCAGTCAGAGGTGAAACTTAGAGCGGCGATTTCTGACCTGAGCCCGGGCCCAGCCCGAACCAAAATTTAGACCGAATAGGGCCAAAATAAAGAGCTTGATGGGCGGTCCGGGTTGGTCTCGGGTTTTTGATGCGGTTTTATGAATCAAACAGCACAAAGAAAACTAAACAAGTATGCACAATAATCTACATGTTGAGGAGGAGGCAGGTCCAATGGGCTGGTTTAAAGACGTAAAAAAAAAGTCTTCAGATGGATCATCTGATCACCGCCGGCAGTGCGCATCTCCGCACCTGCTGTCATCTGCGGTGAATAAGTAGCAGCATCTACAAAAGCCGAAACGAGCAGCGCGTTCAATTAAAATAGGCTTGTTCTATATTTTCCAAATAGTTTTGCTTTCAAAAATATTTTTGTTCATCTGTATGATAGCCTATCTTTAAAGTTGATTTTTTTTTAAGCTATTCGTTTCGTATGTTAATATCCATTTTGTTGCGGGTTTTTTTGGGGGGGGTTCAGGCCTGTAATTACAGTTAATTAGTCGTGTCGTGTCAGTTTCGTAAAAAAAATGACTTCGGGTCGGGTCGGATTTTTTCGGCCCGAATGCAACTCTTGTGAAACTCCAGTCCTGCTGAAAAGCTCTGGCTTCCATTCTCTCCATTAAAGTCAGGCTCTTCTAGCCCAGCCTGAAGGAGTCTGACTCTGATAACAAAAATCTCAACCTGGACCTCAACTCTCACTATAGCACACTGGCAACTTTAGATTAAGTTATTTCAGCTAACATTGCGCTTAACCAGCTTTCCGTTCTCTTCCATGGCTTTTTAACAAAACATATCTCCTTATCATGGGTGTGCGAATGAATGCGAACAGAAGGGGGTTGGAACCACGTGAAGCTTTTTGTCCACCTCTCCTATTTAATGAGCTGAGTGATTTCTGGCTTATTGACCCTTAGTGGTGGGGGAACAGGCAGGTGATTCAGTAGGGTGCCTTAAAGATGCAGATGTCTGAAGTCAGAGGAGGTTTTTTGTGGCACTAATAAGCTGCTTTGTCACACAGCTCCTTTTAGCTTTATTGCTGCACAGAGGAGCACAGGGGAGCTGAGCAGACTGTGATTTTCAGCAGATGCTTGCTGTGCCGTCTCATCCGTGCTTTTGTGTTTCACACAAAATGATCGTCATGACTCCAAACAAGTTCCTCTTTTGAGCTGATTTATTCGGCAAAAGTTTGGTACCTTACTGCGTTGTTGCCAGAGTCTTTATATTGAATATTCTTTGCATGTGTAACTGTACAGGTGATGGTAGTCCAGTTCTTTGCTTTGGGGAATGGTTTGATGAAATGTTTCTGTTTCAGGTGATCAAAGTTTATGATGAAAATAATACCGGCAAAGCTGTAGAGGTTCCCAATGACGTCACTGCCCGAGACATCTGCCAGCTGTTCGTCTTGAAGAACCACTGCATTGATGACCACAGCTGGACTCTTATCGAACACCTCACACAACTGGGTATAGGTATGGTGGTTTTCTTCAGAAGCAGCTTGTTGGTGAGATCAGACAACAAATGTGTAATATTACTGTAACCCTGAGGTGGGATTTTTATCAAATAATTCAAACATTTCTTATTAAATGGTCAGAAGTATACATTCCCTTTCTTTGTTTTATTTAGTGTGACCTGTAGATCTGGCTAATAATCTGTAGAAAGAAAAAGCATTATTTCAAAATATTTTGCAACTGAAAATATTATTTCTGGTACTCACAAAGAAAGTGTGTTTTCTGACCTGGAGCTGCAAAATGTTGTCAAAGTTCTGCTCAAGATACTTTTAATTTTGAGTCAGCAATGTCCTCTCTTTAAAAACTGTGTCGCATATTTTAACTTTATTATAGCATAAATGAGCAAGATGTTTGTTGTGCATGTATGCAAAGTTTATTTATTATTTGAATTTCTCTTTTTGCCCAGAGACTGATATAAATTTATGGTAGGGCTTGAAAAATAAGCTTTTTATCTTTTTGTCCAACCATTTTAACACTCTAATTCTACAGTGAAGCTAAATGCCATGTAGGTTAACACAAACACTGATTCCTGAAATAAAATAAAAAAAAACCTCAACATTCATTAATCTCATCCAATAAACACAATGATTAAATAAAAAACTTAAACATACTAGGAGCAAAAATTGCTATCTTTGATTTTTCCATTTCTGAAATTTTTGTATTCACCTAAGCTAAATGAATCAGTTTCTTGTATTTTTTTTTACAATAGTGTAAAAGTTTCATGCAAGCTCTAATCTATAGTTAAAAGAAGACACACACACACAAAAAGAAATGAGGAAATTCACAGAATAAACAAGCACAGAAGTTTTTCTTGTATTTCAGTTTTATTATAGTTTTCTACATCACACATAAAGACCACAATTGTAACTGTTTATCCACTTTTTTATTTATTTAAAAATACAATGAACCATGATTTTTCCCCAAATTTGCATGTTTTTCTCTTTTGACGACTTCTTTGCCCTAAATACTGTTCATATGGCTGTCAGCATGAGTCCTATTAAAAATGAATATTAATGTTAGCTCACCTAAGCTTGAGTTTTTAAGTTTACTTTGATGCTTCACCTGATGTTTGTGGTTTATCATGCAGAGATGTCTCCTGATTGATCCCTCTGGTTTCCCTCAGAGAGAACCATTGAAGATCATGAGTATGTCATGGAGGTGCTGTCAGGAGGAGGGATGGACACAGACAGTCGACTATATTTTAGAAAGAATTATGCTAAATATGAATTCTTCAAGAAACCTCTGGTGAGTTTTTCAGTGATGTTCACAGAACATAAACATTATTCACAAATGTAAAAGGTGAAGCATGTTAAACAGCAGATGTTGCTTCCAAACTCAAAGGTATTTTTCCCAGATCACATGGTTTCTATATCTACTGGAACTAATGGAATAGTGGATCACTCTGAGCTTATTGAGGTATTTATTTTCCTGTTTAATGTACATATTTGCAGCTTTTCTTGAATGTATATACGTGTATTGTTTTTACCGGAAACACACACGTGGACAATATTTCTCTGCCCAACACAGACCTTTCTCAAATCCAGCACTTGTCCAGAGATCCATGGGTTCCTGCACACCAAAGAACAAAGTAAAAAGTCCTGGAGGAAGTTGTACTTTGTTTTACGGAGATCAGGGCTTTATTTCTCCAGTAAGGGCACTTCCAAGGTTTGTATTTAAAATGATTCACCACAGAAATGTACCGGTATGTAAAAATGTATCACTTCCAATTCCAAAACTATTTTAGTGTTCACTTTTTTTTTTGCGTACATCCCAGTCATGTTACTAAAAGAGCAAAAGGACGGGGTGAGCTTGACTTTCCTCAGGTCAGCTGCCATGGCAGCCAGGTGGAAACCACAGAGCTGCTGACAAGCAAAGCTTAGGCCTGAACTATAGCCACGAAAGCACAAGCGTTCTTCATCTGCTTTTTATTTCCTACAACAGTAGACCTTTTGTTGTCGCAGGTAGGTTTAGTACAGCGCCCTCATTTAGTTCAGCATGTTGACTATTCAGCTGGTGTCTTGGTCAAACACATTCAGTTCAGTCGGCGCAGACATTAATGGCTGAAGCATTACTTTAAATAAGGAAGTGGAACAGTGGTCACATGAACACAGAACAATGGGAGTCTTTGAGTTTTTTTTTTTTCTTAGAATGTTATCTCAGCACAATGTAGCTATTGTCAGTATGTTTAAATCTATACTTATCTTTTTCATTAAACGTTTAAATAGAAAAAACTGTCAAAATGAATGATAATATGTAGTAGATTTGAAAAAGCACAGTTTAAATTCAAGTAAGCCTGCAACCTCTGCAGTAAGCAAACTATTAAATTCTATCCAGGTTATAACATTTCCTCATTTTGATACAAATTCAAATAGCAGTAAACGTGTACCGCCCCCTACTCTCCCCCCATTTACAGCTCTTTTAAAAGAAAATTACAATTTGTTCTGTATTTTATTGGTTCCTTCTAACATTAAGGAACAAATCATAAAATTAAGTGACAAACCCTGAAGCAATAGGTCAAATCTTTTGAAGTGGCGTTCTTTGCAAAGGTTAGTAACAAATATAGATTAGCGGTACACCACCAACACTGTTTATAGTGGGAGTGGTGTGCTGCTGACCTCAACTCGGGATGTCGTGGGTCAGTAGGCAGAATACTTTGAAGACCTCTTCAATCCCACCGGCACGTCTTCCACTAAAGAAGCGGAGCCTGAGGACTCTGGGTCGGGCCCTCCAATCTCTGGTGCTGAGGTCAGTGAGGTGGTTAAAAAGCTCCTTGGTAGCAGGGCCCCAGAGGTGGATGAGATTCGCCTGGAGTTCCTTAAGGCTCTGGATGTTGTGGGGTTGTGTTGGCTTACGCGACTCTGCAATATTGTGTGGACATCGGGGGAAGTTCCCCTGGATTGTCAGACTGGGGTGGTGGTCCCCCTATTCAAAAAGGGGGACGTAGAGTATGTTCCAACTACAGGGGGATCACGCTCTTAAGCCTCCCAGGTAAGGTCTATTCAGGGGTTCTGGAGAGGAGGATCCATCTGATAGTCGAACCTCAGATACAGGAGGAGCAGGGCGGTTTTCATCCTGGTCGTGGAACACTGGACCAGCTCTACATTCTCAGCAGGATCCTGGAGGGTGCGTGGGAGCTTGCCCAACCAGTCTACGTGTGCTTTGTGGACTTGGAGAAGGAGTTCGACCGCGTCCCTCGGGAAACCTGTGGGGGGTACTCTGGGAGTATGGGGTACCGGGCCCTTTGATATGGGCTGTTAGGTCCCTGTATGACCGGTGTCAGAGCCTGGTCCGCATTGCCGGCAGTAAGTCGGGCTTGTTCCCGGTGAGAGTTGGACTCCGCCAAGGTTGCCCTTTTTCACCGATTTTGTTCATAACATTTATGGACAGAATTTCTAGGCCCAGCCAAGGCGTTCAGGGGATCCGTTTTGGTGGCCTTAGGATTGTGTCTCTGCTTTTTGCAGATGATGTGGTCCTGTTGGCTTCATCAGACCGTGATCTACAGTGGTTCGCAGCCGAGTGCGATGCGGCCGAGATGAAGATCAGTTCCTCCAAATCCGAGGCCATGGTCTTGAGCCGGAAAAGGGTAGAGTTCCCTCTCTGGGTCAGGGAGGAGGTCCTGCCCCAATTGGAGAAGTTCAAGTATCTTGGGGTCTTGTTCACGAATGAGGGAAAAATGGAGCGTGAGATCGATAGGTGGATAGGTGCAGCGTCTGCAGTGAAGCGGGCGCTGTACAGGTCTGTCGTGGTGAAGAGAGAGCTGAGTCAAAAGGCGAAGCTCTCAATTTACCGATCGATCTACGTTCCTACCCTCATCTATGGTCATGAGCTTTGGGTTGTGACTGAAAGAACGAGATCGCGGATACAAGCGGCCGAAATGAGTTTTCTCTGCAGGGTGTCTGGGCTCTCCCTTAGAGATAGTGTGAGAAGCTCGACCATCCGGGAGAGACTCAGAGTAGAGCCGCTGCTTCTCCACGTCGAGAGGAGCCAGTTGAGGTGGCTCGGGCATCTGTTTAGGATGCCTCCTTTACACCTCCCTGGTGAGGTTTTCCGGACACGTCCCACCGGGAGGAGGCCCAGAGGAAGACCCAGGACACGCTGGAGGGACTATGTTTCTCCGCTGGCCTGGGAACACCTCAGGATTCCCCCGGAGGAGCTGGACCAAGTGGCTGGGGAGAGGGAAGTCTGGGCCTCCCTACTTAGGCTGCTACCCGCGTGACCCGACCCCGGACAAGTGGAAGAAAATGGATGGATGGATGGATAGATGGATGGATGGAGTTTTCATTCAAACTTTATTTATACAAGGTGGTCTCAGTGAGTCACGAGGACTCATTTACGAGAGACCTATTTAATTTTGACTGGACTGATGAGCTAACAGTTAGCCTTCAGGCCAAGACCAAAGTGGATTCTGTCTGAAAACAACTTTAATGTAAAATATTTGTGGTTCATGCAATTTGTACTTTATAAACCTGTACACTGCCATGAATTTTGCATTATATGGTTTTGTACATAAGGATCTCTAGTTATTTTCAAATGCAAGGATCAGTTAATAACGTACAGTGCAGCCATCAGGTACCTGCAAGAACATCAAAATAGTTCTACCAGAATTACCAGTTAATGCAAAATGACTAAAGGATTTAATCAGTTCAGAGGCAAATTCTATTTCTGCAAACTGTCTTTCAAAGAGTTGTCTGCAAACTCACTTCAAATGATCTGAACTATTTCTTTGAACACTGGCTGGCATGTTTGCTGACCTAAGATCTAGTTCGCACATACCATAATATTGGTTAGTTTTCCTCAAATAAATAACCAAGTATACAATTTTTGCAAAATAGTGTAACTGAGTTCTTTTTGTCTACTTTTATGGCTTGTGAAAATCTCATGTTTTAGGCCATGTTTATGCTGAAATTGTCATGGGTCAGGCTTTGTGGATTCACAATAAACCAGACAACAAGAGTGAAACAAACAAAAATAACTTTGTTTTGCAGCTGCTGGTGGGAGTCAGAGTCCAGTTGCACGAAACGTCTTCTCAGGCAGGTGGAGTGAGAGCCACCTGTTAGAGCTAGAAAAGATTAAGTCACCGCCGGGGCTTAATTTGTAAACCAATTGATACCGGGGAGTAAACAGGTGAACGGCATGATTGCAGATTGACGTGACAGAGCAGAGTGGGTGCGGTGAAGGTTAGACAGGAGCAGGCTTGAAACATGACATGAGCAAGGAAACCAAAACATGATGATAGAAACACGGCAGGAGGGGCTGAGAGTGAGGCAGGGGACAAAGGGTGGGATCATAACCTAGCTGTTTTTTCAACATTTTTCAGTCGGGTCATCTGGACAGTTTCTTTTTTTTTTTTGTGCTGAAATGTTTTAACCTTCCATCCAGAAGGCTTCATCAGTCAAGGAAACACACAACACAAAACTGATTCTTCCCCCAAACAGCTTACTCCAAAGTAGAACAAACCAGTCATGTTGGTGCTAAGATGGTGTCTTTGGCACGCCCCCTCCTCCCATGCCGGCCCTCTTCCTCGTCGACAGTCATGTCAAACTGGTTCAGCACAAAAAAAAAAAAAGAAACTGTCCAGATGACCTGACTGAAAAATGTTGGATTGTATACCTGGATTATTGAGCATGGATTTTGTTAGCTGTTTTTTTTTTTTTTTTTAATACTATTTTCTTTTATTTGTCCTTCTTAATTTGTATGCTGTTTATGATTGTCTATTCTTGTCTTTGTTGTCTACTGTTGTCATCACTCACAGGTCTTTTGTAAATGAGCCCCTGAGACTCAATGGGATTAACCTGTATAAATAAAGGTTGAATGAATATAGAACATTTTAAAGGGTTCACAAACTTTCAAGTACCACTGTATACACACACACACACACACACACACACACACACAGACATGCGTGTGCACGTCTAAAATTCACAACTACTCTGCCACTTCTGATCCTGACCTCTTATTGTCACACAGGAACCAAGGCATCTCCAGTTCTTTGCTGATTTCAGCGACAGTGACGTCTACACAGTTTTATCGGCTAAAAAACTGCACGGAGCACCAACAGAGTTCGCCTTCGGTGTTAAGGTAAAGTCTCCTTTTTAAAGTACTATTGACAGGGGATTGCTGTCATAAAAAAAGAGAACTGTTAAAACTTCACAAAAGAAGCAGAGGTAGAACTGAACTGAAGTTTGTCTGCTTGTAACCTCTTGCCACAGTCTACAAAGTGCAGCTCAGCTCGTGACTTGAAGCTGCTGTGTGCAGATGATGAGCAAACCAAGACCTGCTGGACCACAGCCATGCGCTTGTTAAAGGTTGGCTCGCTGATGAATAACTCCGAGTGCTATCTAAGAGGAGGAATGCTGAGTCAGTGCTAGAGTCAGATTTTGCTTTGGAATGAGGTCAAGGGAAACTATTGAGTGATGCTGGATTAACATTCCCACACTTGACAGAAGCAGCATGTGTTCATTGTCTGGATGTCTGATGGAGAAGTTTGGAGCATTAGTCAATCCTGCTAGTTCATACATTTACAAATAGCTATGAAGCATAAAAGATCTTTTTTACATAATCACAAGCTCTTAAAAAATATCTTAAGGTTACTTCATGAGTTTGAGTTCAAATTTATAAAGCTGACTTTTTAATGTTTCAGTTTGGGATGCAACTTTACCAAAATTTCATTCAGCCGCACCAGAAGCAAAAAGCCTCACCGATGGTAAGCAGAAAATATTACATAGATAACTATTCAAAGATGCTGTCTGGTTGAAAATATAAGGTTTTATGACCTTATTGATCTTCATATGACCACTTATTTTAAAGTCACAGTTTTGGTAATTGGCAATTCTGGGCCCATTTGGAGTGTACATCTCTGGACAGCAATGTAACTTTGAGCAGGTAAACCAATGTACAATCAGATCAACAAACCGTGATCTACAAGTGTGAGTGTGGAGTTTTCATTTTTCCATCTGACTTGGAAGTTGCTTCTCAGTATTATGAATACATGCAATTATATATTTCAATAATAACAACAGCAAAAACAGAAACTCCATCTGTTGTTCTCACTGTGTGAATAAAACACAGCACATTTCTTCACTGTGCTTTCTCCGTCACGTCCTGCACCTCCTGTGTGGCGCAGACACTCCTCTCCCTCGTGCTTCATGCTGTGAGAGCACATCTTCTGCAGAAATTGTCCTGCTGTGAAGTGCACGTGTGAGCAACCACTGCCGGAAAGGTTCAGACCGAACTGTCGGCGTATTTTCAAGCAACCCCAGCGTTCATGTGTGATAAGAGCTTTTGATAAAGAGTTTAGGATCATTTTTCTTTTTTATTTAACTTTTTAAACCAACAATCCTTGCACTCACATATTTTTATGTTGCAACAAGTAGATTTTTAGCAAAACATCTCTGGCAATTTCATTTATTAAATGCAGTACCTACGTATAAAGGCACGTGGCTGTGTTTAAATGACATAGCAGAGGAGTGATAAATTGTTAAGACAAATAAGGCACATTTGTGTGCTATTATAAATTGTGTGTCCCATAAAAATTTCAGACTCAACCGAGACGGCAAAGAAAATCTATTTATGCTTGTGAACTTGTTGCTTTCTAAAAATACACCGCGATCAGCTGCTCTCACATTTGACAGCCCATCTCCTCGTCTCTGCTTTGGTAGGGTCATATGAGCCCAGCAGACTTGCCAAGAGGCTTTGCTGGAAAGCTTGGAAGGTGTGTGAACCAAGCAGATGCAACGCGGTGCTGCGGAGCGTTGTGTGGAAGAATACTGCCTCACACTAAAATATGAAAAGGCTGGCAGGATAGGCAGAGCTCTGAAATAAAAAAATAAAATAAAAAAATAAAAGGAAACATTTTGTTTTAAGCACTTCTTTAAATTGCAAGCTTAGGAGGTGGGGCATCAGTGAATGAATGTTGTAATTTAAAAGCTTTGAGGTAATCCTCATAAGAAGAATTTTCTTGAGCTTGTGTGCAGTTATTTAAAGCCACTCACTCCATGACAGCTTAAAGGACTAAAATGTGACCATGTGTCATTCTTTCCAAAGCCACTCTTAATCCCTTTTCAATGGAGTTTACTGTCAGAAGTCATCTAGAAATGATGAGGATGGAGTTACTTTAGACAGACAGTAGATGGCATCATGATACCACGATGCAGCAAGTTTCCCTTCCTTTTTTATTGTCTGTTGTAATTAGTTCTGTCTGAATGTGCAATTATATAACAAATTCCTTGCCTGTTTCAGAGAAGCATCTCAGAGAACTCACTGGTGGCCATGGACTTTTCTGGCCAGAAGACCAGAGTGATCGAGAACCCATCTGAGGCGCTGTCTGTGGCTGTGGAGGAAGGCCTGTCCTGGAGGGTGAGTCACAGTTTCTGTGTTTCAAATAATCCCTCTGCTTTTGTGCTTGTAGAAAGTTTACATTCAGCAAATAAGCAAGTTAACAATTTTTCCCAAAGCAATGCTTTACAATAAACACACTCGTGTGGTTTAAAACTTTTTAAATTGTTGTATTTCCTGTTATGTTGTCAATATGTCTCTCTCAGAGGAAAAGCTGCCACCGTCTCAGTGGCCATGGGATTCCCTCTGCCTCCCAGAGCGCAGTGTCAAATCTAGGTTTGTGAGATTCCTTCTTCTAATGATTAACGCAGGAGCAAAACTGAATTAAAATCGTAACACACCATCTCTTTGCATCAGCAGTCCACTTAGCCCAGCCATGGTTCCACAGAAAACTGTCTCGGGAGGAGGCTCAGCGTCTAATTACCCAGCAGGGTCTAATTGACGGGTGTGTTTTCCTCCTTTTTGCACATTTTCATTTTTAGGACATTACAGAGTTAAACATCGAAGAAGAGCAAGCATGACTTTGCATCTATCAAATTCAGTGTGTCAAATTTAGAATAGAATTCAAAATTTTACTTCTAACCTACAAAGCCCTCAACAACCTAGCTCCATCTTATATTACATCACTTATTGTTCCATATTTTTCTAACAGAACACTTTGTTCTTGGACTGATGAACTCAGTTCCAAGAGTTTCCAAAAGCAGAATGGGAGGAAGATCTTTCAGTTATCAGGCTCCTCTCTTGTGGAACCAACTTCCAGTTTCTGTCCATGAGGCTGACACATCGTCCAGTTTTAAGACTGGAGTCAAGACTTTCCTTTTTGATAAATCATATAGTTAGGGTTGACTTGTTATGCTGCAATAGGCTTAAACTACTGAAGGACAAATTTACCAAATTTCTTAAATGAATTGTTAAAATTGAATAGTTTTCATTTGATACTGTTTCTATCTTAACATGTGATTCTTTACCTGCCATTGTGTATCTGTTCCTCCTTCCTATTCCTCTCACACACTGCTGGTCAAAGCAGATGGCCGCTTGTCCTGAGCCTGGTTCTGCTAAAGGTTTCTTCCTCATGAGGGAGATTTTCCTTTCCACTGTCGCCTTCATGTTTGCTCTGGATGAGAGTCTGCGATGAAGTTAAACTCAAAGCAGTCTGCTCCTCAGATAAATAACGTTAACTTAATTTTATGTTTATGAACGTTTCTGTTCAGTGCCCTGAGATGACTTCTGTTGTGACTTTGTGCTATATAAATAAACTGAATTGAATTGAAAATGTATGCCAGTTTCAAAAGTGTGCAATATATTGTTCACACAATAGAAACACTCAACTATGCTGCATTATTGCATTGCATTATCATAATACTGCAATGTTTTGTATTTATCGACATACCATAAATCACTTTTTTAATAGAAAGTTTCTCCAACTTTAGCTGTTTTATACATTTCTATACAAAGTAGTTAAATTATATATATATATATATATATATATTAATTTATTTGTTGATCCTAAAGTGTTAAAAGTGTGGGTTTTTTTACACTCATTTTCACTTTAATCTACAATGATTAGTTTTTGTTTTTCTTGTTTCAGGGTGTTTCTTCTGAGGGACAGTCAAAGCAACCCAAAGACATTTGTTCTGTCCCTCTGCTACATGCAGAAAATCAAACACTTTCAGATCTTACCAGTGAGTACTTCTGAAAAGCAAAGCAGATGATAATGTTTGTGCCTGTTTCCATGTGTATGTGTGCTTGTTAGAAAACTAGATAGATTTTAATGAAATTCCCAGAAAATGAACATTGAATGGACACCTATAACTGAGCAATCAACTCAATTCAAGATGGCTCCAACAGCTAATCAACTCTTTAAACACAAAAAATGGCTCTAACTTTGTCAACCTGTCAGATATTAATAGTTTGGTGTGGTGGCAGTTGAGAGTCCAACCAAATACACACTCAGAGCACACCAATTTTACAAGATCATTGTTTAAAACTTTGCTAATAACATCAAATGTATTCCTTCAAGGAATTATATAACTTAGATTTAAATAAACAAAATAATTCACAACTTTTATTAAACTCATAATCTCAACATATTCACAAGATACTTTGAAAAACACAACAGAAACTTCAACGTTAGAACATTTTCTGTATTGTTTTTCCAAAGTTTGTTGCAGGTTTAGGAGTTTGTTCCCAACTTGAGACAACCTTCCATAGATTGAACTTGTATTTCAGTTTTGTCTGTGCCTTCTGCCTCTTCACAAAATCCCAGAATGACTCTGGCATATAGATAATCTGTGTGGAACTCTTTGTTCTTTTTGCTCAAGTTATATCTATATGACTTTGTGTTTGAAGTCATTGATATTTATCTGGGGTGGATTACATCAGATCCTCGATGGAACTTTTAGAAAGACTCAAACATCTCAAGTGCACAGATCCCAGAAGTTTCAAGAGATTTTTTTTATTTTTTTCAAAACTCATGCTTAAAAAAACCTGCAACGTTTGATTTGTACTGATTTGTACACATGTTTGTGTTACTGTAGGTGGATGACGAAGGGGAGGTGTTCCACAGTTTAGACGACGGCCAAACACGGTTTACTGACTTGATCCAGTTGGTGGAGTTTTACCAGCTGAACCGTGGGGTCCTCCCCTGCAAGCTCAAGCACCACTGTTGGTGAAACTCCACCTGAACCTGCAAACTAACACAGTGAGACCCCCGAGCACCTGAACTTGTGGCTCCAAGTGATCTTGTGCCTTAAAGAAAACCAATGAAAATACAGCGGATATCATGATGTAACACACAGCTCAACTATATTTCATTATCAATATTTTTAATAATTTGATTACTATTTTTCTAGAAGAAGACCGTTTTTAAACCAGACTGTTTAATATTGTAAATGACTACTGGTTCTTTACACAACAGGCAATATTTTTTCATCATATAAGAGTCTGTATGGGGTGGGGTGATTATTATTATTATTTTTTTTTGTTGTTGCCAAGTCTAAGCATGATTTCCTGCACTGTAAAAGCTAAAGTTAAACATGTACTGAAAACAGCTAATGATTCATGAGACAGCAAAAACAAAAGTTTTTGTCAATACGTAGCTAAACTTGAGCGTGTACAGAGTAATAATATGCATATGAATGGACAAACATAGGTAGGTTTGTTAAGTGAGTTTGTATCTAGTTCATGTAAAAACGTTGATGTAAATTTATTAAAACATTTTTTACACCATGTCAGTTTTGTTTTAGACAGCTATATGTGTTAAAGTTAATCCGTTCTTGCAAGTGATGCGATGTGCAATTGATGTAATTGCTTGAACGTCTGTAACGTTTTCAAGGTTGAAGTTGTTTTAGGGTGGCACAGTGGTGCAGTTAGAGCTGTTGCCTCTCTGTGAAAAGATCACCAGATTAAATCCTGGCTGGGGGTCTTTCTGGGTGGAGTTTGCATGTTCTCTCCATGCATGTGTGGGTTTTCTTCGGATACTCCGGTTTCCTCCCACAGACCAAAAACATGCATGTTAGTCTGATTGTTAACTCTAAATTGTCCCTAGGTGTGAGTGAGAGAGTGAATGGCTGTCTCTTTGTCTCGATGTGTCCCTGTGATGGACTGGAGACCTGTCCAGGGTGTCCCCTGCCTCTCGCACAGTGATTGCTGCACATGGACACTAGTAAAGGAAAAAGCAGGTAAATATGGATGGATGGAAGTTGTTTTAGGTACTTTAAATCTGCTCTGAAATAGACCCCAGTCCAACCAATCTGATAAATATTCTCTTTGAGCAGTCCGACTAGCTGTTAGTTGGACTGCTCAAAGAGAATATTTATCAGATTATCTAAACAACAACACTAACTACTGTCTGCTGCAAGTAAGATACTGACCTCTCACAAGGATTTGACATAACCCCACTTCACAAAAGCTGAACTATAATGATAAGGCTTCTAAAAGCAAGTTAAAGGGTGACCCTTTTCAAGAAAATAGAACAACTTATTTTGTCCAGATTTAAAGAATATCAAAAGTTAGATTGTTTTCTCCCCTGAACATATCAATCTGAAAAGTAACCATCACCTCTAATTTATAAAAAATCAGATTAAATATTTTTAAATCATATGTATTTTTTACTCTCATAGTATTTTAAAGGTTTATTTTCTAAAGAAAACTGTTTTTTCTATTTGACAAAACATGATCTTCATGGAAGTGCCGGTGATGTTTCAGGAAGTGTTCTCCAACTGACCTGAGAGATTACGATGGAGTAGACATTATTATTACGTTAAATCCCCCAAAAAGTTGATATAAAATAAAAGTGAGAAAACAAAGGAAGAAGGAGAAGCAGAGAAGATGGTACACAACCCCCATTCTCTTGTGCGGTGCATTGAAACACGTTAGAATGAATTAAATATTTGTATTTGCAGAAGTGTTTGTCAAATTTTTATAGGACTAAAGCAACAAAAATATTTTTCATAATTTGTATTGGTCCCAAAAAAATAGGCATTGTGTTTGATCACATCAAAATAAATTGAGTTTTTATAAAAATTAAATTAAATAAAAAATAGCAATAAGTAATAATAATAATTATCATTATTATTATTATTATTATTATTATTATTGTTATTATTATTATTATTATTTGGTTGTTTTTTTTATTTATTACCGGTACTACTATTACTACCACTACTACGTTATTTAGCTACAACTTGTGTGGATTCACTATGTGGATAAACGTTCAGATATATTTATTTATTTTTGTAATTTGTTATAAGCACAACATATATATATATATATAGAGAGAGAGAGAGAGATATATAGATAATATAAAATTTAAAACATTTTCAAATATCATCATAAAACTTGTTTTTAAAGCTGCTTTAAAGTCCATGCTTAACTTTATTTTGTATGATTAAAAACTTGGCATAAAAAGCAATGGAATTGTAATATTTATAAAATGTTTCCCTTTTCTTTAAATAGTATTTTTGCATAAAACAACACATCAGAACTGTTTCCAGCTGCTTTTATTAAACATAATATAAAAAATAAAAAACATAATTATTGTTAAAAAAAATCAAAAATCTAATCACTGGAGCTTCAATGCACAATAGATATCAACTTGTTAAATATTTTACAATATGCTTCAAATTTTTTACATTACAGAATAAAAATATGTAATAAAAACATTCTTTTGCTTTTTACAATTTACATACATAATGATACTCAACTTTTTTTTCATTTGTAGCTTGTAAGTTTTTTCTTTTAAAATAAAACTTGGTGCAGTGTAATTTAATCACCAAATAATTGCACCAAAATAACCAGTTTTCTTAGTAGGTTACAACAAAATTAATAAAATACAGTACACATAATTAAAAAAAAAGCTTTTTAATGTGTGAATTTGTGTCTCAATTGTATGTTTTGTATAGTTAGAAAAATACACAAATTTCAGTATATGATAGCTAATAACATTTTTATTATTTTGGTACTTATTTAATTATTGATAATGTCATTTTACTGAGCTACCTATGTGCTCATCACCACTAGATGGTACCAGAAGCTTCTTTAGTTCGAAAGTGTGACAATATCATAAAAACATCATAAATTACATCCAGAATAAAGAAGAAATGAATGAAGTCTTAATCAATTTAAAAAAAAAAAAAGATCATTTTTGAACAGCATATACTTTTTCCCATACATTGTCCATTTGTTATTGTTTGACTTAAATGTTTAGGAATGCATCAAAACTAAACAGCATACAGAAATTATATATATATATATATATATATATATATATATATATATATATATATATGTAAACTATACATTTAACATTGATGTTAAGATCTATAAAAATAATAATAATAAAAAGGTCAGATTTGTTTTCCTCACTCTACACAAAGCATCTTGTCAATCTTCCCTGTTGTGATTTAAACACATTGCCCCCATACCTTCCCCTTCTTTACTTCTAGCACTTTTTTTTTTTACCGTTCTCACATCCAGGGGAGATGTGCGCTCACAGACAAGTCTTAAACGCACCCCTGCTTCCGAGGTCTTGTGCTAAATGTTGTTTTGGATGTATTCCTGCCATTGATCGGAGTCTGGCTGCAGGGGGAGAGATGGCAGCTGGGAGAGACTGCGCTTCCTTTAATGAATTCATCCAGCTCTATTCCAGCTCAAACGGCCTGTGGATACACCATCTCTCCCAGTTTAAAGAAGAGAAAAAAATCCTGTCTCCGCTCTATCTTGGCCCTCATGGACAAGCAGCAGTGTTTGCAACACTTCACGCCAGCACAGCATATAGGATTTATTTTGTCTGCACTCTCACTCTTATGACTCCAGGTTTTGTACATAAGAGCTGTCAACTTTGCTCTGTTCTTAAATGCCCCTGTTGTTGTACTGTCCTTGTCTGAATCTGCCTTTGCTGTGTTCAGCCAAAGAATGATTATCTCCAATGAAGCAGAGACCTTGCTGTTCGCTCCACTCTTGATTTAAAAATGAGCATTATTAAGACTCGGTTTAAACTCCACAAGGAAATAAGGATAGGTTTGTTTGCAGGGTACACTACAGTGAAAGTTGCTGCTTTTATCTGTTTCTTCTGAAAAAGCTCTCCCACAAGAACTAGCACAAGCTAGAAGCAATTTTGAGCAAGGATAAATGTGGGCTAGTTGGGGAAAAATGCAAATAAACGACTGCTTTTTTGGTTTTATCTTAGAAAAAATGTAGAAAACTAATACACGTCAATTTTTTTTTCAATCAATTTTTTATGAAACCTTTTGTTCTTTTGCTTTTGGACATTTGTTATGATGCGTAACCATAGCAACAAGGTAGTTTTCTACAACTGGGAGCTGCTGATTAACATATCGAAAGCTCAAATAATACCTCAACTACAGCCCCAAATCCCAAATGAGTTGAAAAGGAGGTGCCGTGGATGCATCTCTGTCTACCTGGAGGCAATGCTCGAGTGCCAGACTGCCGAGATCTTTCAGGTAGCGGGAAACGTGGCTTGTGACAGCGGGAGGACTGAGATTGTCCCTCGACACCTGCAGTTAAGTCCGCGGCTATGAGGGGCGTGGCAGGATGCTGGGAGAAGTGGCCATCTGCCCGGCATTCAGGCAGTCCTGCTGCCCAAGAGGACTGAGAGGTCTGCTGGGTCTGGATGGGCGGATCGGCATCTGCAGCCAGTTTCTTCGGATCCGCTGTGGGACGGACTGCTGCAAGAGATCCTTCCTGCCCACAGCCATCAGTATCTATAACAACTCTAATGAAACCAGGATGAGCTACATCAACAATGAATTTCCCTTTGGGATTAATAAAGAATTTCTGAATTTAATAATAATGATAATTAAATTTGTACTGCACTTTACAAAGTGCTACAATATAAAATATCTCAAGAGAATAAAACATGGACTAAAAAAAGACAAAAACAAAATTTAAAGCTAAAGAACTAAAGAAAAACCCTGCATGATTAAAAATACCTTTAAACACTATAAAATCGTTAAAATAATAATTTGAATTGAATCTAGAACAATAAGTTAAGATTTATAGAAAACGGTTATTAATTTTACTAATTTCTTGAGCTACTAATTTGCATTGCCATTTCACTGATTTTGACATTCTTGGTTTAACATTGATAAAACATAAAAAAAAAATAAAAATAGCATCACACTCAAGGGCGTCAGAAGCATCCGTAAGGTGGGGGGGACACAATGATGTGTGTCGTGTGCGTGTGTGCACGCGCGCGTGCGTGTGTGTGCACGTAAAAAAAGGTGTTCACTAGTGAACAAAAAAAGCAACATTTCACCTAGATTTCCTTTAATTCCACAC